GTGCGCTTGGCGACCTTCACATCCACAACTCACCTTATGCATTAAATTACGAAGAGCCCTCTTGATCTCCTTTAAGCTCGTTTCTAGTTGTTTACCGGCAGTTGTCGTTACAGTGGCTGTCGCGGGAGTCTGTTGACAGTGCATCGACGTCTGCATTTGAAGCATACGCTGCTGCTGTTGACAGTAACAGGGTCCTGACGTCTGACCAAATGTCCCACGTGTCTCAAAGGAGTCACGTCGACGTCGTCGCTCTTTGGCCAAACGCATTTCTATCTTGCTGATGTTGACCTCTTCCGTGTGAGAAGAGTTGCTAAGACACAAAACCCCTGGCTGAAGACCCAGCCACTTTGATGACGTTTTCACAAGCTAAAATAAAACAAATTTTAAACTTTGGTAGACAAGGAATTTTGGCTGGTTTAAAGCTAAAGTTGATTAAGTGATGTGCGTAGAACAACTCCGCCGATGGAGGCATAAGAAGACAGCAGATGAGTGGTAGAATGGATGCGTTAATTCGTGGATAAATGAGTGGGATGGATGGAGTGTCTGAATGCATAAAACTACCTCCGCCAACCACGTAGGTAAAGGCTTAGTTCGGTCCTCACGGAAGTGGATTTGGACAGCGATGAGCGAGAAGAAGGTGAAAATCGCTATGAGGACCATGTTGAGGCAGTAATAATAGCCTGCAAATGGAAGCATGGAGGGTGTCAAGTTCTTCCACCTTCATCTCTACATCTTTCAAAATTATATTTTACTCTGGAAAGCAATGCTCTGCCAACCTATGTGGCGAAGTCAACAAGAAGTCTTCCATTACTCATATTTGCATAAAATGAATCGGTGGGGCGGTTTCTAAACCCCTGGTGTTTGTCAAATGAAAATATTTTCCATTATATTTGAGCTTTAGTAAGCAATACGCAAAAAAGGCGCGCCCCTTCTTAAAAGTGAAGAGAGCTGTCTGCGTCTCCTGCTCCTGTAACCGCGTAATTCCCTCGGTCACAGAAAAGGCATTTTAGAAGTTGGCTCAACACTGACTCACGACACCCAATATAGAAGGACTTTGGAGGAGAAGCCGTCGCCACCATCCTGAACAGCCTCAAGAAGTCTTCGGCATGGCTCTCAAGTCCGAGTCACACACTCTTCCTAACCACTGATCTGCACTTCTTCTGTCCCCTCATTTCCTCACTTCCCCACTCTGTTCCACTAGAATTCAAGCCAACTTTACTCTTGCTTGTTAACGAAATCGTGACGTTTGCGTTAGGCGATTCTGTTGGGCGTGCCCAAATCAACCATCCAACACACCACACCCACTCGCCATTCATTCTCCACCTCTCCAGTGAGCACCTCATCACACTGCAGAGTCCACCACTATCACGCATGAGTGTCAGTGATTGTGCAGGTGTTGGAGGTCCAACAACAACCCCCAATCCACCTATCATGCACTACCTCCGTGGGTGCAACCAGGACGGCGAGAGCAAGTCAATGGGGTGAGAGGTGGCAGTACGTGTGCACTGCTGCAGCAACAGGACGGTGCCTCGCATTGCATACAGCAGAGAACGAAAGCGGGTGGGTGTGTGGGCGAGAAGGAGACGTTGTGGCGTGGGAGGTGGAGGTGGTGTTGCTTCTCGTCTTGTGTATTGTGCAGTATAAATGTCGCAGAAGGAGGAGGAGGAGGAGGTAAACGCGCCCTCCTCGTGGCGTGGAACAACGGAAAGAGAGTTGAGAGATGGAAATGCGACTGAAACTAACTTCGTCTATACTTGACTGTTTCC